CAGGTCTTCTTCAGTTTCAGCAAGCAAGGTTGTGTCATCTGCATATTGTAGGTTGTTGATGAGTCTTCCTCCAGTCTTGATACCACATTCCCCCTCATTAAAAATAAAAAAAACCCACCCAAAACACTAAGGAGCTATGCTGACATAACCCATAGGGAATTGTACTAATAACACAAAATTCATGCTTTTCTAGTGGTTCAAATCCACTAGTGTCTCCATAAGAATCACCTCCTGTGTGATTTACAGTCTAAAAATCACAGTGGAAAGATAGGGACGGGTGCTTCTTAGAAGCAAAAATGGTAAAATGTCAACTTATACACTTTGAGTATATTATCAGGAGAGACAAGCCCTTGAAAAAAGACATAAGGCTAGGAAACGTAACAGGGCAGAGAAAATGAGGAAGACTATGATGGAGATAGACTGAAACACTGACTTCAATAATGGCCTCAAGCATGCTGGAGATTGTGAGAATGGCACAGAATATGGTAAGGCTTCAATCTATTGTTCATATGGGCACTACTGGGTCATAATTGATACTGAATAATAAATAGATGGCATCTAATGCCAATGATCTTTATGGAAATAATTTCCTGGTCGTTCTGTATAGTAGCTGAAAGAGTTTGAATCAGCAAATTTTCTGCTAGCAGCCAAGTACTTAACTGTTGCACTACCAGTATTTATATGCTTAAATATTGACTGATTTCCTTAATATAGCACATTAACTTCTCAAACTAAGATATGACAAAATATTTTGGAGAGGGAAATCATGATGGTGAAAGTGGAGGGACAGCAAATGAGAGAAAAGCCTTCAATTGGAAGGGTTGACACAGTGACTGCAGCAATGGGTTTGTGGGTGTCAGGGATTGTGAGGATAGCACAGGACAGACAAGGTTCAGATCTGTTGTTCATATGGTCACTAGAGTTGTACTTGACACTCTGAGACCTAACAACAACATCATAAAAGTCATCAAGGGCCTTCTAACTGCCACACAATTATGAATGCCTGTGATGTTCTTTTCCTTCTTTTTATTTTTGTTATTGTGATTTAAGTCAAAGCTTACAGATAATATTAGTCTGCATTCATTCACACACATTTTAAAAGCATAACATGAAGTGCCATACTCATGAAGCAATCAGAAACTTCTCACTTCTTTGTAATTCTCATTTTAACAAATCCTTCTGTCCTTATCTTTCCTATCTTTTATTCTTTTTCCCTGAACAAATTTTGTTTTTTGACCTTATATGGCTGGTTATTCTAAGGATTGAGCATCTCTCTAGGATTAATAGTAATTTTTTAAAGGTAATTCTTTGGCTGCAAGTTGAGTTGGTCACAGGGGTGAATTTTGGTCCAGTTTTGAAGGGTGACTCAGCACCAGTCTTGGAGATTCTCAGTCTTTTTGTCTATCAGTCCAGGAAGGCTGGTGATTTTGAATTTTGTTGAGTTGGTTCCATATTTCCAACCAGTCTGTTGAAAATCTTCTACTGTAGTCTCTTCTAGATGTGTTAGTAATGGTAGCCTCATCATCTAATCCTGGCTTCAGGGCTATCAAAGTTGCTATTTCTGTAGTCACATAGGTATAGGCTACTAATATATCCTTTTATTGTATATAGCAGAGCCAACAGAAGGCAATGCTTTGTATGCTTCTTATGCTTCTCAATCATAACAAGACACTTGGAGAGAATGAGTTGTTGCTTCTACTGTCCTGGGACCATGGCATTGTAGGACTTAAAAATAAATTGGTATAACATAGTTTACAGAGTCAGTTTTCCATATCCTACATTGGTGAGTAGTAACTGGGATCTTAAAACCTTGTAAGCAGTCATTTAAGATGAAAGTCTTGGTCTCCCATGCCTAAAATAAGCAGGGGCCAAGAAGAGCAAACATGTGAGACACAAATTAGCCCAAAGGACTAAATAATGGACCACACAAACCTCAACTCCTTAGTCCTTCTTAGGCTTGCTTCATACTGTATTGCTTCACTGACATCTTGAAGTTTCTGTACTTTTGCAAGCTACACATTTCTAAGAACATTACTATGTTTCTTGAAGCAATCCACCTCCTTTATTTCAGCATCAAGTACTTTCAGCAAGCATTACCAATGGCATTTTCAATAAAACTTTATATATAACCCAATGTGAAATTAGTTTTTCAAATTACTTCATTATTCAGGATTTTCTCTTTTGACTGACATAATGTAATCATATATCCAATTGCCCAATGTAATTTTTTTACTGCATCTTCTCTCTCGCTGTGTGCATCCAGTCAGTCATTCCTCCGAGCGTCCTCTTCATTTTCATGGCCTCCTCCTTAGTCTGTTGCTATTAGTGAAATCCAGCGTTAGCACGGACATTTCCATAGTCTGTTTTACTTTTTCCCAAGTCATCCTATATCTATTTCTCTTTGCTTCATTCTTTAACTCTATAAAAATGTTTGATGAAACAACAAAACTTTGTTTACTCTTAAGAAGACAAAATCCTCAAAAGGACATTCATAGTATGTAATATTTTGGCCAAAATTGTAAAATTTTCCTTCTGCTATTCATATATGTATTTGGATTTCTTATACCATTTTCCAAACATGAAGTGGCCGGCTACGATGAACTGGCCTTCCTGGATGCACAGGTTGGAAAGCCAGCAAGCTATCTTTCTCAGTTTCCTTTGCAGCTAGGGATTTGATTGTGCTCTAACTTCTAAAAATCAGACACTGAGGGTAGCACAGGACAGGGAGGCTTTCAGATATGTTGTTCATAGGGTTGCTATGAGTCATGCTCAACTCGATGGCACCTGAAACAACTGTACATGATTAAGAAGTTTCGAAATGTTGAGGGCCACATGTTTGTTACTTTATTACTTGGTAAGGACCACCATGAAGATATTTGTTCTATTTATGGTAGTGAAAATCTCAATGTCTAATAACTAGCCTCTTTAATATTGAATGCTAGAATGTGGAATATCACTGATACAGAAAGTAGCAAAAACTGAGGATCAGCAATTA